GCCGGAATCCAAAATTATTTAGCCAATCAAATTTAATCTTACATAGCGTCAAAAAACCTTCAATTTTCACGCCATTTTTAAAAAGCAGCAAGTATTGCTTTGAGCGCAAAGATATAATGATGATTAAAATGTTTGTTTTCATGAATTCTTTTCAATAAATCATATTTACACTGACTTTTTATTTAGCGATTTCACCTGTTTTCTCTGTAGTAAGTTTTCGTTTGGTTAATTAATATAAGTGTTCATCTGGTTCTGTGCATTTTTTTCTTTTTCTTTTTTTCCAGTCATTTTATCCTTTCCGGTATTTAGGGTGGGGGAAAATCCCGGGATCCGGGACGCCCGGGATCCGGGATAGTATTAGATATATAGGGAAAAGGAATAAACTATATTTGTGTTGATTATTGTCGTTGAATCTTTGTACAGAAGATAATCATTATACCAAGCCCTCTTACAATATAATTCCCTTTTATGCTCACTATGAGGAAGTTGTGCTCTGGTGAGCATAAACAGGTATTGGGATCCCTATTCATCTGTTGTCCCTACTGTGTAATTTAGTTTCTCTTTAAAGGATATCTATGAAACCAAAGACTGCACATTAACCACACTAAAGAAGTCCTCTTTCATAGTTGTTCATATATTTCTACACATAGGTCAAGGACACGTCTTATATAGAAACACATACGCACACGTTTATACCTTATTAATGCCTAAACCTTAAATATTTGGCATGTGGTATTGCCTTGTTGACCACTTTAAAATTTTGTTCATGTATCTACATCATATCCATTTGTTTAAAATGTTTCACATACCAAGATGAAGTGGACATAATTTTTATTAAAATGCTTAGGGAAAATATGTTTAAGTCTTATTTACATTTTTTTTTACATTTAAACATACCCCTGGAGAAAAATTACGAAGCGAGTCGCTACTAGCTTTTTTAAAAGCTAACCTTGTTTCATATATTTTATTTTTCGTGCAGGGTCCACCATATTGGGCAATGTCTCTACTGAGATTTATTTTTTGTGCTGTCCTTTATTTCTTTATCAGCTACCTTTTTTTGCTTCATTTCCAACATTTGTTTGAGTTCCTCTCATAGCTGTATTTTTTTTTCAAAAGAAGCTTTTATTTTTGAAGCCATTTTTCTGGCACTGTCTAAAATATCTTGTCTTTCACTGTCTGGGAGTGTTGCCAACCACTGAAACGGCTTATTTTTAGAGCACATAACAAATGCTTCGAGGGAAAGACTAGATGATGCTGGCTTTATTCTTAACAGATTATCAAAAGAAGCCATATCCCTTTCAGACAGTGAATTTGTTTTTGGAACATTGGCTGCCATATGTTTCATTTCCTCAGATGGGTTCCAATACTTACCCTCTGGTAGTTGGGATGCAGCCTGCCTTTCAAGCAATATAAGCAGCTGCGAAGACAAGAGTTCAAGAGCCATAATTGTAAGAGCATCTAGATGAGGGTCATCGGTTACTTGAAATAGGGAATGGTAAATATCATCTTTTTCAATATACTTAACATCAAAGATGCATTCCTCTGCTAATGGTATCTTCCCATCCTGTGACCACTGGTTAAGGCTTATCTGCATTTGATGTAAGGCAGTATTCAAATCTAGTATGCAGCCATCTTCTTCAATGGACCAGTTCAAAGCTTATCAAAAATGCCCATAGCTCGACAGCCACTTAGGTACATCATTTCATTAATATCAAAGGCAATGCACTTTAAAAGTCCATTTTTTTCAGGCCAACATTCCAGGAACTCCTTAATTTCATTACGGTGATGATATACTGCTGCCCCGTCATGAAAAGCAACATTTATACGGTGCCCATGGAAAGTTACCATTCTGTTTTTTATCCCTTTTCCAGCCAAATAAGTCTCAAAGTATGAGTGGACACCAGCCTTGTCTGACTCACGTTTTGTAAAAGCTTTTGCTGCTGTTCTAAGGAGTCGGAAAGATCCACTTTCAGCACCATATGCATGTGGGTTTTTTCCTTCTACAACATTTTTTAAAAAAAATACCTAATGCTTTATCTGACTCTATACCAAAATTACCCAACAAATGTAGCCTACAAGAAAACTGTCCCGTTTCATTCATTTTTTCTTTTTCTTTATCACAAATATTGTGATACTCTTTAACAATTGCTGGCAATAAAGTTTTTCCAATCTTTTCTACATCATCATTGAATACACAATTGGTAGCACACTGATCACTCATAAAGTTTTTTTATTTAACATATCAGTTTAGCTTTGTTTTCATCGAATTCCCCACCAAGACATTCTGACAGATCATTTATCATTTCTTCAAAGGCATTAATGTATGTTTTTCCCATCCCCACCTGCTGTTTGCCTTGATCCTATAGTAAGTGATTTACCTGATTTCAATGTTACTTGTGCGCCTTCATAGTGGGAATGAAACTTTGTTGTAGCATCTTGATGAAGAACATTGCCTTGACCAGATGCCATGTCCAGGTTGGTTAACATTTCGGTTCCACATGCTTTGATGCAACAACTTTTGCTTCTGCCATCACCCAGCTTAAAAGTGATTTGGATGGAAGACGCTCTGGAATTTTTCCAGTGAAAGATTTCAGAACACTTCTAATTACATCTGGTAGTTTGCCCATGCTGACATTGCATTCTGTAATCAGTGTCATACAAAATTACCTTACTTCATTTGTGTAAGTGCCATTATAAAATGTATCAATATGCTCTGATTCCAGTATCTCCATTACATATCTTAATTGATCAATTTCTTTTTCTTTGGCTGAGAGGTTTTGTTTTATTTCATGTGTAATATGTTCATGTAACTCTTGCAGAATTTTATCTTTTTCCTTCAATTCTTTAACCTGTATTTTTAATTTTGAAATTTGTTTCTGAAGGCTTAACTTATCCTTTTGGTTGTCATCTTTTTTCTGAAGTCTTAACTTATCTTTTGGTTGTCATCCTTTTTGCTCTCAGAAATTTCTAATTTATCTTTTTTAAATTTCATTTTCCTTTTCAGCACTTTTGACTTGATCTTTCAGGACAGCAATAATTTCATCTTTCCTTTTCAAACTTTTGTTAACATTTCTGGTGTTAAATTTACTAAGCTTTTTTCTGGGCTTCCTGTAATTTCATTGATAACTCATTTACTTCCTCAGATTTCTTTTCATAATTTTCTTTACTCTTTTTTATTTCTAAACATAAATTTGCCTCTTTTTTTCCTTCTAACAAATTTGAATATTCAAAACTGGCTATCTTTAAAACATTGATAGCTTCATTCAATTTGCTCGCCATTCTGACAACATCTTTCTCCAGATCATTGTTCTCATTAACTGGGTGTAGTATCATATTAACTGGCTGAATTGGATTTTCCAAGTCTAAAAATAGATTGAGACTCATATTCAATGACCATACACCGTAGATTGTTAATTACGTGTGTAAATTAAAAAATAATTGTTGCGTTTGGTTCTTTATGGCATATTTCTCGATTGAAATATCATTACTTTACTGCTATACTTAAAGGCTAAACTGCATCGATGAGTATAAACTTGAATTACTTTTGTACGCGCAGCGTTCGTGTAGTCGTTGCACTCCTCGCACGTGCGTCTTTTTTCCCGCGCTTCAACGAGACAAAATTTGTACATGTATATAAGGGTGTACTTTTTCGTGATTTGTTTTTAATTCTTAGCCTATTCATATAATAAAACAATTATTGACTAGTGAGTCATTGAATATGATGTGATATTCACCGACAGAAAGTCATATTGACCTCGGCTATCGCCTCGGTCAATATGTCATCTGCCGGTGAATATCACATCATATTCAATGGCTCACTAGTCAATAATTGCACAATAACAGATTGTCTGATATATTTTATGCTCTTATTCAGCCGTCGATATGGCGAAAATCTAACATAAAATTGCAGGTTTTTGCAATCGATGACGAATCAAAACCTATTTTATAATATTCTATTTTATATAAAGGTTCAAACATATTAACTTTATGTTACTTAATGACCAGTCATGACGGAAATTTTATGCCAACCATAAATAAACATATATGTTGCATTTATTATCATTTGTTCCTTTAAAGTGACTATGTTGGAAAAATAATAATCTGAACTTAAACGATTGCATTTTACCTTTGAAACATTATCTTACAAAGTTTTTTTTTTCAGTGGCAGAAATAAGTACATTACGTTTGAAAATATCTGTTTTTACCCGTTTGTGAAAGTTTTTTTAAATTTAATAGGTTGAGTGCCATGCTACCAATTTTATTCAGTGCTTTTTTAGAATGATGTCAAAATTTGTAGCAATGTTTTGAGAATTCCATTAAGATATAAGTAATTCAACTGCGATCGAACTGTATCAACCTTTTCTTCAGGATTCTACCATTTCCGGTGTCGATGGTTTTGATATCAGAGTACTGTTATAATCATGTGCAAATGTATATGAACTCTCAGGCAAAGAGAAAAAATAGTGGATCTTATATCTGTGAAATCTTGTTGAGAAGTTAAAAACGTGTAGAATATATTCATTATGTATACACGTAGTTTGTATTATCTCCGCAGATAAAATTGGGCAGGGCTATTGAAACGACTAAGCACGTCGAGTGGTATTATGCAATGAATATCTGTGTTCATTCCGTGCAGTTTTGTACTTGTGGGGGAAAAGGTTGCTAATGGAGTTAAGATACTTTGCTTAGGGGTTTTTGAGATAAAGAGTTTGAAATACAAAGGACTGGTTGGATTGTAATGAAACGCATCGCAAACATTTGTTATAAGAACGAAATGATGTTTATTTCTGATACTTCATTTTACAGTAATTGCTCATTGTTAATTTAAATAGGGTTTTTAAAGAAAACAATGTCCTGGTTGAATTGTAATGTTACTCACTATGAATGCTTATTGTGATAATGAAATGATGATTATCATATGAACGCTTTCAACGCTGAAAATGATCAAATTAACCGGAAATTTGACTTTATCATACATTTATACTTCTTTTACCCCACAGATCATTGCAGTACAATATATGGAGAATGGTTCGGGGAAACAGCCGCCGGGTTCCAGAACAAGATAAACAATCCACGATACATGTTTGAACTCTCTGATGAAGGTGAGTACAATATGACGTCATTATAAAAGCTTGGGTCTATATACATGTACATAATCTTATTTGCAAAAGTTGGTTTCCCTATTTTGAAACAGAGAATCCTTAAATATAAATCAAACATGGACAAATCAAATTCTATATGAGGTTATTTCTGTTCACTTGAATTTTTATTTTATATAGACATATGGAATTTATATTATATTATTAAAATCATTATATTAAAATTATGAAATTTATTTCACTAGCAGACTATTTCAGACTGTTTAACCCATTACTTCATGTGCATTTTATGAAAATGGCTGTTTTCATTGAAAAACCTCCTGTTACGAGTTCAAATTACTATGAAACTATAAAAAAAGTCTTCAATACTCATTACTGTTCAAACTTCTAGACCATAGCCTTTGCGCATACACAATCTTGAATTTCCTGCTACCATTGCAACGAGGGGACATCTCAAAATTGCCAAAAATCACTAATTTGCGTTGATTTTTCTTTCAAAACTGATTAATCATTTCGAAGTGCTGTAACTTCTCAATGGATTGAGATAGAGTCAAAAGCTTTTTAGCGTTGGTTACACGTTACCTTAAGGTCGACCTAGGGCCAAAATTTTATTGGACAAATCACTTCCGGTTCCAGCATTTCAGATTAAGGATTAAAATGCATTGTGTTCGAACATGAATTAATGCGATAAAACGAATATAATAGTTTCGGCCTTAATTTAAAATATAGGTTAAATAATCAAAGCCAAGGGTTTTCATACTATGGCTTTATCAAACTTATTGAATCGCCAATATACGGCACATGACTCTTTATTTATTCTTTCAAAACTAGCCAACCTGTACAAAAACATAAAAAGAACAGTTAGCGCTGGGTTCGTTTTTCTTACATCCGATTGTTTCTTTGCAATTTCAATACTTGCAGGTTGGTCTTTATGTTTCATATTTCATAGCATTTATTTTTCAATATTTCAGGAATGGACGACGACGGCCTGGTACCAGTAGTTCTTCAGATATGTCAAAAATTGAAACACAGAAAAAGTAATAAGTTTTCAATACGAGTAGACCTTTACAAGGTATAGATATATTTATATACCATTTTATTCTTATCGTTACATATTGTTAAACTCTTAAGCCCTAGCGATGAAAATTTTAGCCATCAGTGTTGAGACAACCCGCTCTCTATATTTCGGCGCCTGAATGTTAGAAATTAAATCATATCAAAATCTATTAAACTGACATGAAGACAACCTGTTACACTTACTTAGTGGAGTGAAAGTATTACATATATGGTACAAAGATAAGTTAGCATGGTCAAGTATTTTGATTGAAACTTAATGAAATATACAATTAAAAAAAACGAACCTATTGAACATAATTATATCGAAATGAGTGTTATGCATTTTCATTTTAAATGACTTCAGACTGTTTGTTTGTTCAAGTTTAAATGATGTAAGAAGATGTTATGTTTTGTTCAAGTTTAGATGATGTAAGAATATGTTATGTTTTGTTCAGGTATTAGGAGAGAGATCGGGGTCGGAACCTCAAGCAGTAATGGTGTTACTAGGAGAGGTCACTAACATTTATAAGAGTGAACGTCAAATGAGCACGAGATTCAAGTAAGCTTCTTGTATTACCATCTTTAACCATTTTGAATGGTATAAAGCTCGTGTGAAAGCACCTTTTTGTACGTACTTCAATAAAGAATTTTTACTATAATCTAAACCATTCTTTTTATGTAAGTTGCTACAAGAAGAAATTTAACGGTTTTATTTGCCCCCCCCCCCCCCCCCACAAGCATCCTGTATTTTCATTGGAAAGAGCACTCAAATGGTGACCTTCTGCTTGTCGTTAGTGATTCAGTCGCTGGCACGCTATTGTCACGCAAAACAAAATGGCCGCCTTTCAACAAAAAATATGTTTAATGATTATTTTCCTCCATAAAATTATACATTTTAAGGAAATATTCACCGTTATCATAATTAGAAGAATTTCCGCTTTTTACTAATTTTCATGGCATCAGTTATTTTCTTTGTACACCTTAATGCTCATTGATGTGCACATACCTTTAAAAGACGTTACTATGGCAACATGCCTCCATGGTTTTATCTTAATATACAAGCTTTATTGTGATGTTTAGAAGATATTCATAATAAGAAGTCCTGAACATCGGTGAAAAAAAATCAAACACACCTACCCACCAATATATTTTCGAAGTGTGTCAGTAACAAACCGAATAACCTATAATATTCTCATCAAGCTGGACTTTTGAACATGCTACATGTTAGACTTAATTTCTATGTTTCAGGGTTGAACCTGGACAATATGCCGTTGTCCCGTCCTGTATTGACGCCGGAAAGGAAAAGGAGTTCCTGGTCAAGGTCTATACCCCGGCTCCGATATATAACGTCAGGTACATATACTTCCTGTTAAACAAATCTATTAAAATGAAAACTTTGTTCTTGTAAATGTGAATTTTAATCAACGACACTCTGATCTCTGCATGAGTAACAAGTAAAAATAACATTTTATTATAAACAATTGTGTCCCAGTCATCAAGTGGTTGATATTTAAAAACCGTAACACCAACAAATACATGTTTTGGGATGATATGGCATGTTCAAGTCTAACTGATACACATTCCCATACATATACATGTTAATTTCTAAACTGTAAGTATGTATAGCAAATGCTACATTGAGATATGTGTTATTTGATAGACTTAAGTCATATACATGCATTATACATTTTGCTTATAAGTGTTTTATCATTTAAGTGTTTATCTTATAAATGTTCTATATTATAAGTGTGTTAACTTATACGTGTTTTATCGTATAAATGTATTATCTTAAAAGTATTTTATCTTTTCAGTGTACTATCTTATAAGCATTTGTCTATTAAGTGTATTATCTTAGTACTTAGTTTTTAGCTCGACTATTCGAAGAATATGAGAGCTATTGTAGTCGCCCCGGCGTCGGCGTCGGCGTCAGCGTCGGCGTCGGCGTCTGCGTTGGTTAAAGTTTTTTGTAAAGTCAAATATCTCAATTATTACTTGAGATATTCAATTGAAACTTACAATACTTATTTATAGTAACAAGGTACATCAGATTGACAAGTTGGATAACTCTGCCTACAATATTGACAGAATTATGCCCCTTTTTAACTTAGAAATTTTGGTTAAAGTTTTTTTGTAAAGTCAAATATCTCAATTATTGCTTGAGATATTCAATTGAAACTTACAATACTTATTTATAGTAACAAGGTACATCAGATTGACAAGTTGGATAACTCTGCCTACAATATTGACAGAATTATGCCCCTTTGGAACTTAGAAATTTTGGCTAAAGTTTTTTTGTAAAGTCAAATATCTCAATTATTGCTTGAGATATTCAATTGAAATTTAAAATACTTTTTTATAGTAACAATGTACATCAGTTTGCAAAATTGCATAACTCTGCCTGCAATATTTGCAGAATTATTTGCCCCTTTGAAACTTTGAAATTTTGGTTAAAGGTTAAAGGTCTTCAAAGATATTTACTTGAAACTTTACACATGCACTTAGGGTAATAATTGGAGGGTCATAATTGTATGTCACTGACCAAGTTCCATAACTCTGTCTTGCATTAAGGCTGATTCATATTCCCTTTTCTACTTTAAGTCTCTTTGTTAATGTTTACATGCAAGTTTTACATATCTCAATAACTATTAAAGATATTTATTTAAAACTTCACATATGCATTAAGGATCATAATTGTAGGTCACTAACAAAGATCCATAATTCTATCTTGCATTTAGGCCGCTTTTTCTCCCCATTTTCAACTTAGAAATTCATGGTAAAGTTTTGCTTGTAAGCTGTTATCTTCATAACTACTGAAGGGTTTGTGCCTTTTTTGGGACAATTTTATGCATTTATAATAATAAAGCAGTGATTTACTTGATAAAACATCTTAATAACAAGCCTTTGTACCTTTTCTGTCAAATTTATGTATTCATACGTAATTAGTATTATTATGCTCAATAAAACACCCTTGTGATTACCTTCCGAATAATCAAGCCAATACTGTATAATTAGACTCTCTCTAAGGCCTATAACATGAATTTATAAAAAAAATAGCCCTTTTGTGAACTTAAACAATTTAACATTACCAATGCTCTTTTACTATCAAGCACTTAGAATAGTCGAGCGTGCTGTCCTACCGACAGCTCTTGTTAAGAGTGTTATCACACTTACATTACATTGAAAGGTTAGTGTTGCAATTTCGTATCAAAACAATGTTAATATACTTTAAACACACATCTAATAAATATGACTTAATGCAATGTGTATTTATGCCTGAATAATTCTTCTTTCAGAGAAATTGGTCGTGAATATGCTATAATGGAAAGTGAAGAATTCAAATGTCCAGATGAAGCAGTAGTTGTCAGTAAGTAAAGAAGTTGACACATAGTGTTAGATTATTTCATATTAACTATCTATCTTTAAATTGTTCGACAGGATCAAGCTAGTTTTGCGACGGACGCGCCCCCAGGCGCGTTCAGAGCTATGTCATCTACACATAGGATATCGTCGGCTACAATCGAGCAAATGTCCTCAACCGAATAACAGCCCAAAAAATAGTACATGAATTTGATCCTATGAAAATCCCATACTTTGTCGGGATATCTTAAAAACTTCCATATTTAGTCTTTTCAATTTCAAATTAAGTTATACAAGTTAAAATATGAACGTATTTGATTGATAAAAACGTTGTAACCCCGTAGTATTATTGCGCAACATGCAAATAACTGCTGAAACAATTTACCGCTGTCGAAAACGTAGGATATCAAATTATGCTATAATTAAGGAGTAAGCTCAATAATTCCTAGAAATTTTAAGTAGGAAATAAATATTTCTCCATTAAACAAAACATTTTTATTAACAGATCAAAAGTTTTTCGTGACTCGGCAATTCTAGAATATCTCGCGCATTAATTACATAATTTTCTAGGTTACGATCTGAGTTAACCTGCTATCAGCTAATGTGATTTGTGATAGATTATAATAGATAACACTATTCTTAAAATAGATTTTACCCTATCATCACTAAATCACCTTTGCTGACTTTCGGACAAGCGATTAGGTAGTAAACATTATACAATTGTAAGAAGCAAACAATTTGTAAATGAAAAAAAAAATCTAAAAATTACCCCATTAATTGCTGATGGTTTTAACCAAATATATTTTTAATGAGACATATCCAAGAGAAACAAAAATTAAAATAGTAATGACTTATATTTTATTGTATATATGCCAACTATGATATAACACGAAGCTATTCAAATTACATTCTCGCATGTATTATGTATTATGCTTGAAGTTTATTTGCATGGTTTTATTTTAGAAATATTTTTTTTTCTTTTTACACATAAATCGATAAGGACACTGAATTATAATATGAGGCATACATTTCATTATGTATTTAAAATTTGGACGTGTTCTGCTTGATAGTAGAAAATCTGATAATTTCAGATTGGGAAACCTAAAATAGATTGCTATGCAAATCTCGAACTTGTATGAACCAAAAATTGTCTCTGTTATATCTTTTGTGTGTGTTTTTTTTTTTTGCATGTCCGTCGCATTCAGTGCATTCAGCACTTTGATTCTATCTGTTTTAGTGCTCCAATTATTTGTAAATAAAATGGACAAGTCCACCATATAAACGAATACAATGTTTCTGGCAAGATTCATACCTATGGTGACGAGGGGCAATGAATTTTAACTCAGTGACTCAGGTCACTCATGACGTTGTCTTTGAACTCGTAGATGTTTGCTGATGAATTGCAATGTTTTTGTGTTTTTTTCTTTCTTTTTTTTCCCCTCAATATCAAGCATGCTCTATTATACTAATGTTCCGACTTGTAAAATCTTAAATAAACACTCAATGTGATTTGATTATTATTGTATAAATGTAAGAGTTAATACTAAATTCTGCAAGAGCAATAAATTCAAATCCACTGCAGCTAAATTCCATAGCACAAATTCGGTGTATGTAAAAAAGTTTAACATTTTGTATAAAAGAAACAAATTCTTCTAAGAAATGATTAGTGCTGAAAAATATTTAAACCAATGGCAGGGACGTTCTAAAACTAATGGCAGGGGCGTTTTAAAACTCATGACAGGGACGTTCTAAAACTAATGGCAGGGACGTTCTAAAACTAATGGCAGGGACGGTCTAAAACTAATGGCAGGGACGTTCTAAAACTAATGGCCGGGACGTTCTAAAACTAATGGCCGGGACGTTCTAAAACTAATGGCAGGGACGTTCTAAAACTAATGGCAGGGACGTTTTAAAAAACTAATGACAGGGACGTTCTAAAACTAATGGCAGGGACGTTCTAAAACTTATAGCAGGGACGTTCTAAAACTAATGGCCGGGACGTTCTAAAACTAATGGCTGGGACGTTCTAAAACTAATGGCAGGGACGTTTTAAAACTAATGGCTGGGACGTTCTAAAACTAATGGCAGGAACGTTTTAAAACTAATGGCCGGGACGTTCTTAAACTAATGGCAGGGATGTTCTAAGAGAAACCACATATCAGCATTTAATATGATAAGATGATTTATTAAAGTACACTAGACTTAATCATAACAATTATCTTCGTTAAATTTATTCAAACGAAATGTACTGACCGCACTTCAAATTTCAAGTGCTTATATTACATGTACACTGGCTATTTATTTTTTACAAACTTTTAAGGATTTTAATCATATGTTTTAGGACATACAGAAACTGTATTTGGGAGATGGACTTGCGGCCATAATGCAGGTGGCCAAATTTCACATCAGACGTATTATCAAAATCCGCAAATAGAGTTTGAAATACCTGACAGAAACAATGGTATGTTTGTTGTCTGTATATTACCTTAGAAATGAACAAATGTTTAAAATATGTACCAGCGGACCTTTCAGTGGTAAAATGTTATGATCAATCTACCGGACCGCTCGAATTTTGTCGTTTATAATTGTCAAGTGGATTCTACAAGACAAAGCTGCCCGGTTAGCTCAATAGGAAGAGCTTTAGACTGTGAATCGGGCAACCCAGGTTCGATTCCCAGACGGCGCAGGTCAATTTCGTTGTGATTGATCATGAAAGATTGATCATGAATCCTTTCTACGGTCATTCGCACTGTACCTCTGCTTTGGCAGTTGCGAAACTGAAGGCAACTAGTACTGGTAAACTGTTTGACAGCCTGCCCAGGAACGATGCAGTGGTTGAACTATGCTCTGTTGCATTCAATATTGCTCATTGTCGTAATCCAGAGTGAAAACTAAGAACACCACCACTACAAGACAAATATTTCACAAGCAATGCAACTGGGAAAATGAATAACTAATCCTTTAGACACTAATACCGTGATACTCTTAAGAATTATAATGCCCTCTTGATATGATGCTTTGCCAACTTACTACATGTATTAATAGATCTAACTGAATTATCTGCTTGAACCAGTAGAGCATGTTTTAAAATCTTTAACAACAATTGGAGTTGTAAATATGATGAACATGCTAGCAACGGTGCTTTAATTAAACAATTATAACTCTGTCATATCCGTTTTCTATTTATATTGAATAATTCATACCCTTGTTGTAATATACAAAAACTAGACAAAAATGGTGTAAAATGATGTACAACATGCGATATTTTTTTGAGAACATTTAGCTTATTAGCTTCTGAAAACTGTTACCTATGGTGGCATATTTCTGCCACCAGATAACCATATAACTAACTAGTTAATTAAGAGGTTCACTAATTACGTAATCTCAGAACGAATATCTCAGATTTCCTTTCCAGTTTAGTTGTTGACAGGCAAAACGTTATTATGTTAACAAGATGGTGGACATTCCTTATAAAAATATGATAAGAATTTATTGTTATATCGTCATAAATGTTATTATCCTACAGATGAATTTGTTGACATTACAATAATGCAAGAGAAGGGTCAAGAAACATACCCAGTTGGTCTTCGTATTTATCCGGTAAGTTACGCAATTGTACACGTATTCAAGCAACTGTTAGGTAGCTAGATTCTATACCTTTATTTAAGCTAAAGCATTTTTCTGTAAGCTATGCTTACTGTGAACTTTAGCATATAAAAATATGAAAACAATAAACATGAGAAAGGGTTTAAAGCTACCTGAACCTCTTGAGCAATCTGGATACCCTGAAGGTTGCGGTAGATATTAACGTGGAAATAGGGAAATTTTGTAACAAAACCAAATCTTAGTAGATTAAAATTGACCAGAAAAAATGGACAGTTTAATATTCAAATACTGTAGTATTCAACCGTTACTCATTTTATAAAAATATTTTTATTTTTTATGATGTTTTCAGTGCAGTTACCGTTCTAACTACACACTACTGTGGCATGTGTGGGCTTAAAACACATGTATGAGCCGCGCCATGACAAAACCAACATAATGCGTTTGCGACCAGCATGGGTCCAGACCAGCCTGCGCATCCGCGAAGTCTGATCAGGATCCATGCTGTGCTCTATAAGTTTCACTACTTGTTATAAGGTTTGTAAGCGAACAGCATGGATCCTGATCAGACTGCGCGGATGCGCAGGCTGGTCTGGATCCATGCTGGTCGCAAACGCATTATGTTTTTAGTGACTTGGCTCAAATTTGACTTCACATCAGTATTCATATTGACTTTTACTGCACATTATGTTAGTAGACTTTTAAAGGCTTATGCAAAGTATGTTGACCAATGAACAGTTTAGAATTTGTGTTTGTAAATTAGTAAATATATAGAGATAAATAAAATTTAATTTTCAAATGATACAATACACACAGATGGACCCAGGTTATGACATAGAATGTGGCGACCAGCATCAACAGTATCTGTATTCACAACATGACAATTGTCCCAGGACGTTGGACGGGAATGTAGGAGCTTTTATAATGGGTAAGTTAATCTCCAAATAATATCTAGCAAATGAATATTTTACAATCTTTCTTACAAGATTCAGTATATTTTACTTTGTTTTGGTATTGTACGTTATTTTTCATGGTATTTGAATACAAAGACAAGTTTTGTTCCGAGACGAGGTAAGTATATGGCCGGTTGGATCCTCGGTTGTCTAGGTTTTCAGTAAGCGGGTTCCTTTTCCATGAAATTCTTTCAAGTCTTTTGTCTAGAGGAAAGTTATCAATGTAAAATGTACAAATATAAGTTACCATTTTACATATACCATAGACCGTCAAGAGAATATATATGTATATAGAAACTACAAATAGACAAAATACTTCTACAAAAGGAGGATAACTACATAAACTTAGCGACAGGATTTAAGAATATGTTTTGCGATAACCAATTCAATGATATTTCCAAACTCGTTATTTATTTATAGTGACTTCCGCAAAATGTAAATTTAGGAATTTGTCCCCACCCCATTGAGGGGACAATGGCTGTGCTATTTATTTATTGCGGTAAGGGATCAAATTTGAACAAAATTGAGAATTTTAAAACAGATTTTTTTTGTATTTTACTTTTCTGTTTTGATTTTATTAGGCTCGTCGGCAGAAATACAGCACAAACTTCCGCCTGGACAATATTTTGTTCTGTTTCATTTGGACGGTGACCAGCAAGAGAAAAGATTTGCTGTTATAATCAGATCATCATGTCACTTACAAACAAAGTGAGTTAATTTTTTTTTATTTTGTATACTCGTATATATTGTCTAACACTTAAGACATTGGTATCTCGGAATTGCCATATCATAATTGGAGAATAACAAAATTGAGTGTTTAAACTACTATATTGAATTCAAGTTTAGGCATGTAGATGAGCTACTAGTGCATTTGGTTACCGCTTAATTTAAGTGAGTGATCCTTAGCTTTGTTTGAATGAAAATACTATATAATACTTATCTCATACTTGTTTTGTGTGAAATCGTGAAATTGGAGAGTTTTTAAAAATTATACATTCATGACCGTTTTAAAAAAAAACATACATTTTACGGCTTTTAGTGTAAAAATGAAATGTATGTGTTCACTAAATCCACATAACGGAATCAATTTGTATAAAGTTTCCCTCGATTTGACAATAACTGCATCTTAGAAATTCAGTTGTCTTTGGTGAAAAAAGATTTTTTTCTTGTTTTTTTTTCAGGAAACACCATGTAGAATAGACACGGGAGCGTTCAGGTTTACATTACTGCCTGTCCTACACAATTTGCGCATGCGCAAACTATTAGCCTTACTGGGGATAGATCAACCAACTGTTCATAGCGTTCTATAAAAAATTATTTATTGAAAACTATACAAAAGTTATTTATTGAAAACTATACAAAAGTTATTTATTGAAAAGCAGTTTTATTAGTATAAGATACTTCATATATTGAAATACAGACTGTTTGCAATATTGAAATAGATAAACATATTCATTTACTGAAATTTATTTAAGCTTCTTTTACGCGTTCTGTTTTTCATGCCTAAAATATATTTACATGGTTGTTAATAGCTAGCTATATATATAGTGATAGAATTTTATCATTAATGTGAAATAAGTTGAACAGTAAAAGCATTCTGTGATGTAAAATTTGTGATAATATTTATTTTTATTGATAAGTTATGATTTTGCAATTTTTTTTATTTAAATCAAACATACAACATAAACGACGCAAGGTACGCGAAAAGGAACTACCAAACTTGTCAGTAACTTTGAAATATTAATTTCTTTTGATTGCCGGTTTATACATGTACCTGTTACAGCATTAAAATTTTCGTCTTCTGACAAAAGGCCAAAACAATTTTTAATCTTCAGATAAATACAAAAATATATGTCAACCCTTAATGCTAAAAAGGTACAAGTAACAAAATCAATTATAGTTATCATAATGGCTTCTTTATTCACTTCTTGTTACTAAATCAACTGACTTACAAGTGTATCATATCGGTTAATATCAGTATTTACTAATGGGATAGTGACATTTATTTATTGATCAGTTGATAAACTATACTTTTAAAATGATATAATCTGATATTTGTATTATTTACATATGGTATGTGTGTCTATGATGTACCGGGGCTTTAAAGTCTCAAATGAAATATAGTTGTTGTAACATTAAATAGACTTATTTTTATTTATGTTTTAAATTATTATCCAAAAACAGACTACAGAAGTAGCAAGAGCATCGCTAAAGCGGGGAATATACGCCCGACAAATTGTTAGAATAATCGAAAAGATATTTCGATAAGGGACTCATTTATTCTAATGACGGGAAATGACACCCGGTGGGTGTATTTTTGACTGTACATGGAATAGTTTCAGTTCTTCTAGGCAATGTTTCATGCTAAATATATAAGCTCTGGACATAATAGTTTTCTAGTAAAAATGTTTAGAGGTTTCTTATACATTATTATTTCTAAAGCATATGGCCCCATGGTAGGGTCAATTTCAAGCTCTTGGTCAAAGTTGAAATCGCATTATACTGTAGAAATGCTTTTATTAATACCTCGTGCTTTCTTTGGTATATATCCAGGTATCTCCGTACAACTTTGGTCATATATCCCTGTATCGTCGTGCTACCTTAGGTATATATCCCGGTTTCCATGTGCTACCTTGGGTATATATCCGGTTTCCTTGTACTACTTTGGGCATATATCTCGGTATCCCTGTGCTACCTTGGATATATAATCCGGTATGCATGTGCTACCTTTGATATATATCCCGGTATCCCCGTACTACCTTGGGCATATCCTGGTTTGCCTGTACTACCTTGTGTATATATATCTCGGTATCCCTGTCCTACGTCGGGTATATATCCGGGTATCCTCGTGCATTCTTTGGTATATATCCAGGTATCCCCGTACAACTTGGGCATATATCTCAGAACCCCCGAGCTACCTTGGACATATATCCCGGTATCCCCGTGCTATATTGGATATATATCACGGTATCCCCATACTACCTTGGGTATATATCCAGGGATCGCCGTATTACCTTGGGCATATATCCCTGTATCCGGTACTACATTGGGTATATGTCCAGGTATCCCTGTAATGCCTCGTGGAGTAGTCAGTTGGAATTACAGAATGACTGATGCATTTCAACCAACAAATTACATCATTTATATATAATCACTTAGATTGTTGATAGCTCGTTGTGATTCCTCTACTAAATGTTCAAATTGGTTAGAAATAAAATACTAGTAATGAAATTATCTTTTCTAGCATATTTCTTTTTTCAATGTCATTAATATAATCTGATATATAAAATCACAAATGAACTGGAAATATCGATTCATAATGTTTGCCTACTGGTTGAAAGTTTAGATAGTTTCACGTCACCATGTGAAACAAATCTAATAAGTCTACAGTCATGCACATATAGATTTTAACATTAATATCTACCTTATGAAGTGATAAACTTCTGGTTTGTCATATCCGTAAAGTATATAGGGGATATTTCAAGTCCTGTTCACGCACGGAAATATTGATTTTGTATTTAATTTTTTTGTTTGCTTTTGTTTTGTTTTTTTCGTTCGTGTTCATTTTAAATGTTGAAAAGCATATTAGGTAAACAATGCTCTTAAAAAATGTACATTTGGAATACCTTTCCGATTTGTCATGATCCTTATTAATCGTAACACCTCGGCTCTTCCCGTAAACCCTCGTATATAACAGAAAAGTTAAAATGGCAGGGGTGTGGAGCGAAAAGTCGCTAATTAGCGAGGACCCGGGGCGAAGTTTGATAAATAAAACTTTGTGGAGGCGCTCGTATTAGCGCCCGCTTATAAACTTGTTTTCGCTCCGCGCCCCGGTATTTTAATTTATTTATCCTCGACATTTCGCTATTTAGCAGGAACGCAGGGCAAAAATTTATTAAATCTGAACTATTGTGACCTATTTGTTTTGTAATTTCATATGAATTGTATCCGCCGTTTGCAATACGAAAAATTATTTTCTTTGTTCACATTACAATATTTTAATTTTAAATACATTTTCAAAATTTTCATGAAAATAAGCATGAATCACGAGGCATGCTGCTTTGAATGAAATAAGATGTTTTCATTACCTTTAGAATTTAACTTTCTTTGTTAACCTTTCTTTTAAAGACGTTTTCGGTAGTTTTCTGTGCGCATCGTTATGCGCTTCCAAGAAAGATAATCGCGGATAATTACTCTTCAAATGAAGGTAAAGTTGAATAGTATTCGGATAAGTGTTTACATTTCGGCTATAAGCAAATAATGAGTAAATAATACAGAATAGATATTTCTAAATGTTCAAAAGGAGATCTGTTCAAAAGAGTAAGAGGTCGTTTAGACAACATCACATAAAGGATTGATGAGAATTCTGCGCACGTTACCCCACCCACTTGTGGTATAGTAACGAAAGTGCGTCGAAACTTGATTACTGGCAGACAACTGGGCAAAGAAGTTTAAAATGATATATTTTAAAAATGTTGAATAAAAAAAAAAAAAAATTAATATCCAAGAAATGTTCCGAATTTCAATATTTTCTTTGTAAATTTCTGAATACTTGCTTACTGTTCGGGTATGTTAGTCGAATGAAAAAAAATATTGTGGCCCTAGATGTGTTTTAAAAAGATATTCAGTATCATTAACTTATTATAACATCAAAAGAAAAAGAAATTATTATTACAGCATGTTTTTGTTGTATATTTGACAATACATTTAGCATAACACAGACATTTCTTAAGAAAGCGTGGTAATTTTGACAGTTGGCATATGCGGTAACCATGGAAACTGCCCGTTTACAAAAAACTAACACGTCAACATATATATTTTATTTCTATTTTTGAATCCACCATCAAATGTTACTTGATATATCAATAATGTAGAAAATTCTATGAAAGAAATTTCTTGATAGCTTTAATTTTTTACAGAATTCATGTTTATTTTTCTCATTTTTCGTTTAGTTAAAAAGCATGAAAACTCATTTTTTTAAAGAAATATGTTCAAATTATCGTTTGTTTTATACAGAACCCTAAGATAAAGCAAGCTTTGTATAAAATTATGTTTATTGTGAGAGTAATAAGCTATTTTATACATTATTATAACATAGTTTGGCTATTTTGACAATTTTGAGATATACGGTTACCATGGAAACTGCCATTTTTCAAAAAATCCAACACGCCAACATATATTTTACTTTTTCTTTTTGAATTTGTCATTAAATTTTACTCAACATACAAAAAAATTAGAAAATCTTATGTAACACTTTTTTCAATGTCCCTAATTATTCTGAGAATTCATGTTCATTTTTCTCATTTTTTGTTCGGTTGAGGAACATGGAAAACTCATTTTTTAAAGAAATATGTTCAGATTACCATTTGTTTCATACATAATCATTAGATAAGGTTATCTTTGCATAAAACAATGCTCGTTGTGTGTTTCAAGCTATCTTATACATTTTCTATTCGTTATAACACAGTTAAGCTATTTTGATAGTTTTTAGATATACGGTTACCATGGAAACTGCCATATTACAAGAAATCCAACACGTCAACATATATTTTTATTTTTTAATTCGTCATTAAATTTTACGTCTTCATACAAAAAAATAAGAAAATTCTATGAAAGGATTAATTTTTCATAAAACTATAGAAAATGTCTTTAATTATAATATATTAATGACATATATCTCACATTGTTGTTAAGGGTATTGTTTATACGTAAATACAAGTGCGTAGTGTTTTATATCTAACATTTATGTCAGTATTTCTTACATTGTATTTTATTAATAATCTGAACTTAAACGATTGCATTTTACAATTGAAACATTATCTTAGAAAGTTTTTTTATTCAGTGGCAGAAATAAGTACATTACGTTTGAAAATATCTGGTGAAAATTATATATTAAATTCTATAGGTAGAGTGCCATACCTTAAATTCAATAGGTAGAGTGCCATACCTGAAGTACTAGGCTACCAATTTTATTCAGTGCTTTTTAAGAATGATGTCAAATTTTGTAGCAATGTTTGGTTTATCTGAGAATTCCGTGAAGATATAAGTAATTCAACTGCGATCGAACTGTATCAACCTATTCTCCAGGATTCTACCATTTCCGGTGTCGATGGTTTTCCGGTTTGATATCAGAGTACTGTTATAATCATGTGCAAATGTGTATGAACTCTCAGGCAAATAGAAAAAATAGTGGATCTTATATCTGTGAAATCTGGTTGAAAAGTTAAAAACGTGTAGAATATATTCATTACAAGTAGTTTGTATTATCTCTGCAGATAAAATTGGGCAGGGCTATTGAAACGACTAAGCACCTCCGAGTGGTATTATGAGATGAATATCCGTGTTCATTCCGTGCAGTTTTGTACTTGTGGGGAAAAAGGTTGCTAATGGAGTTAAGATACGTTGCTTAGGGGTTTTTGAGATAAAGAGTTTGAAATACAAAGGACTGGTTGGATTGTAATGAAACGCAGCGCGAACATATGTTATAAGAATGAAATGATGTTTATTTCTGATACTTCATTTTACAGTAATGGCTCATTGTTAATTTAAATAGGGTTTTAAAGAAAAAACATGTCCTGGTTGAATTGTAATGTTACTCAGCATGAATGTTTATTGTAATAACGAAATGATGATTATCATATGAACGCTTTCAACGCTGAAAATGATCAAATAAACCGGAAATTTGACTTTATCATACATTTATACTTCTTTTACCCCACAGATCATTGCACTACAATATATGGAGAATGGTTCGGGGAAACAGCCGCCGGGTTCCAGAACAAGATAAACAATCCACGATACATGTTTGATCTCTCTGATGAAGGTGAGTACAGTATGACATCATTATAAAAGCATGGGTCTATATACATGTACATAATCTTATTTACTAAATTTAGTTTTCCTATTTTGAATATTGACAATCCTTAAATATAAATCAAACATGGACAAATCAAATTCTATATGAAATAAGTTCTGTTCAATTGAAATTTTATTGAAAGCAAAGAACAATAAACATGTGAAATTTACAAATAAGTATGAAAATTCAATGTCAGTATTTGCATAGTTACCGTGCAACTGTAATTATAATTCAATATACATATACATATTGACTCCAAACTTTTAGTTTATTTCAGTGATGGG